TCCAACTTCTGGCGATTGTCAACGGGGGGGGGTGGACTACAGCACTTCGCGATTGGGGGGGGGGGGGGGGGGGGGTGGTAGTGGAGTACAGAGCTTCGTGACCGCGGAGCGTGTGAACGTTGTGATCAGCTGTTTTAGCGCAGGGCTGCTGTACAGACCGACGTTAACAGCAGCCCTGTCTGTGCACACGGAGACCGACTCTGTCGTCCGGTGATCTCACCGCCTTCTGGAAAAGCTTCACAAGTACGTCGGTACTCAAATGCGCTTTGTGACACAAGTGACGGTATGCATTTCAGATTGTTGCCGCGCATGTACCTGCGTACCAGTTATGTGCACCCCTGATTATAGTTATATAAAAAAAAGAGACTAAATGAAAAACAGGTATAAAATACTTTGACAGTAACAAAAACGTTTTTTTAAATAACAAGAATACAGTTTAAAAAGGGAGTGATTTGTAAAATATCCATAAAGAAAAAGAGAAATCTGCTTACAGGTCTGTTTCATATGGGTGTGCACCAGATTGATGCATTTAACTTCAACATTTAAAAACAAATTTGCACACATCTTGTGTCCATATCTTTCTGTTTTGGTGGTCATGCCACAACCGTGTATGCATGCATGCGCGAGTCATGGTAAAATATCTGGATTAAGAGGTTGCTTTTTCTTTGCACAGCATGAAAGAAAGGCGAAATGAATGGGCTGTGATTTTAGTATTTTTAAGCAGAAATTGAGTTCAATCATTTGTACAGCCCTTGGAGAAAGTTGTAAAAATTGAAATGGCCCTTGAGAGAAAAAAGTTCCCCACCCCTGATCTAAATAATAATAAAAACCCTTGATTTGTAACTTAACATCTCTGTCTCCTATTGATCAGAGTATATTATAAAGAATAGCCAGTTAATTGAAGCATTATAGCTCAGGCCTTTGTCAGATGGTATATTACGCTGTTTTTTCTGTTTCGAATAGTTCTCTCTTTTTTCACCATACGTGTGTTTGCATCCCTGAATATAAGTAGGCCTATAATGTTAAACAGAACATGCTGTGATGTCGCTCTGTTCAGAGTGACACCAGTGTTTCCAAACAACTCCATCTCTGTTGGTCTCTGCACGCTTACATTAACCTGCAGTGTCAGATTTTTCAAAAAAAACAGGGAGAGCAGCTTCTCCAAACTGTTCCATTTAAAGGCTGCTGAGACATGAGGATGCCAGGCTAAAACTTATTGATGCGTTATAAATTAGAAACGGAGCAATCTCGATATAGCGTTAAATCCACATTGTGGATCGTCTTATCAGTTATCTCTATTAAACATGATTGGATAAAAGTAGAGCTGATTGCCCAAACCTAACTTCTGTATATAAAGGTACACACCCCAAACACAATAACTAACATTTAAACATTACTTTGAGCAAAGCTACACGACTAGTAATACCTTTACACTACACCAATTCATTACACAATTTTGTATGTAAGGATTACACTACCACTATATAACACTAGTACAAGAATATTATCAATACTAATAAACCCATATCCAAACTGATTTCTGCACTACAGACATCATTAGGATAGGCAACAACAAAGTACTGTTGTTAAATAGTTAAATATTTGTCTTTTTTTCTGTTTCAGTCCTGACCCCAGAAGACGCCATAACCCGCTACAAGCGTGTTCTTGAGGCGGTGAACAAGGGCAACAATAAAACGGCGGCTTACAGAGCGGTAGGAGTGGACCGCAAAACCATTGCCGACACTGCAGGAATTGCAGAACTGCATGCCGTGAACCCGGGCATCTTCCAAGATATCCGGGGAACACTGAAGAAGGGGGAAACCCTTCTCCGTTTCTCTGAGATGTGTAAGTCTGCCATAAAGGACCAACATTTAGAGGGGAAGGTCCAGGACTTAAAGACGAATGGAGGACTATTATCCATTAATCCAAAGGGGAAGTGAGGAAGGAATGGATGTTTTTTTGCTTTGCACTTGTTTTTAGTTTTTTTTTATAAAAAGTCGTTTTTATTTACATTTTTCTTTTTTTTTATGTTCATCCTTGTTTCAATAAAAATGTAAAACTTCAGTGGCTGTAGATCCGTCATTGTCATCAACAGTGTTTGTTTGTTTGTTTGTTAGTTAAACTGCTTAACTAATGGTAAGATAATGGTGAGGTAATCATTAGTTAATGGGTAACTACTGCTTAATGAATGGTCAAGTAAGCATTAGGTAATGGGTAACTACTGTTTTTGATGCCTTACTTTACTTGAGGGGACACATACTGCTTAATGAATGGTCAAGTAAGCATTAGGTAATGGGTAACTACTGTTTTTGATGCCTTACTTTACTTGAGGGGACACATACTGCTTAATGAATGGTCAAGTAAGCATTAGGTAATAGGTAACTACTGTTTTTGATGCATTACTTTACTTGAGGGGACACATACTGCTTAATGAATGGTCAAGTAAGCATTAGGTAATGGGTAACTACTGTTTTTGTAACGGTAAAGTAAGCATTAGGTAATGGGTAACTACTGTTTTTGTAACGGTAAAGTAAGCATTAGGTAATGGGTAACTACTGTTTTTGTAATGGTCAAGTAAGCATTAGGTAATGGGTAACTACTGTTTTTGTAACGGTAAAGTAAGCATTAGGTAATGGGTAACTACTGTTTTTGTAATGGTCAAGTAAGCATTAGGTAATGGGTAACTACTGTTTTTGTAATGGTAAAGTAAGCATTAGGTAATGGGTAACTACTGTTTTTGTAATGGTAAAGTAAGCATTAGGTAATGGGTAACTACTGTTTTTGTAACGGTAAAGTAAGCATTAGGTAATAGGTAACTACTGTTTTTGATGCCTTACTTTACTTGAGGGGACACATACTGCTTAATGAATGGTCAAGTAAGCATTAGGTAATGGGTAACTACTGTTTTTGTAATGGTCAAGTAAGCATTAGGTAATGGGTAACTACTGTTTTTGTAATGGTCAAGTAAGCATTAGGTAATGGGTAACTACTGTTTTTGTTTGAGTTCCTTGAGTTTACCGTACCCAAACGGCCTAAGTAATGGTAAGGTAAATAATGATGACTTAAGCAGTAAAACGTGAGTCGGATCCACCTCCACCAGTTGATCCAGTGTGGGACCCAAGCCAGCCGAAGATGGTTTAAAAGTGCCCTGCTGCAGCGGACCATTGCTTCAATGAAAGTCTCCCAGGAACTCCTCATTAAGTAACCATTAACGAATGATTCATTAATACAGTACCCCCAGTCTGTTTACCAGTAACTAACTAACCATCCATCGAAGTCACTGAGGAACTACTCATTAAGTAACCATTAACGAATGATTCGTTAATACAGTACTCCCAGTCTGTTTACCAGTAACTAACCATCAGTTCACTGAGGAACTACTCATTAACTAACCATTAACGAATGATTCGTTAATGCAGTACCCCCAGTCTGTTTACCAGTAACTAACCATCAGTTCCTCAATCGCAGTCCCTGAGGAACTACTCATTAACTAACCATTAACTACCTAGTAGTTCCTCAGTAACTAAGCAGTAACTAAGCACATTTTGTGTACCTTATTGTAAAGTGTTACCATTTTTTGTAATACAAACACTTGCATGACTGATGACACGAGGGACTTGCATTGGAATAAAGAGGATGAGGAGGGGGTGGATTCACACTGTGGTAAGTTGGTACTCAATCATATTATTGTGTCCCATCTTAATGTTGCTGTTTTCTGATCTTGTTTTGTGTTTTAAGCTCTGTCTGATTTCCAGGTGCGTTCCATTTTCAGTTGGCAGACAGTATTGTCTAAAGCTGTTTTAGGCAAGTCTATGAAAATGAGTCAGTGTTTAGGGTGTGGAAAACTTTCAGTTTCATTTTTGATTTGGTCCCAGGATCCCAAAAAACGGGTGGACCCGGTTCTTTCCAATGTATAAACAAAAGTGTCCTTGTCCAAAGCAAAGATAGGCTGTAAGGTGTTTTCCGCCTGTGTTGTAGTCGTCACAGTGAATCAATAGGAATAGATATGAGCTTATGTTGAACACATGTTTTCATGTAATGCATTATAAACATACTTAGAATGCATTATCTGTTTATAGCTCCAGTTATAAGCACGCATATATTCATAAAGCTTTGCAAAAATAATGCAAACAGTAATTAAAAGATTGTATAATGACTTAAAAGGTAAATTATCGTAATTTTTCATAATTGCCGGTCACTTGCTGACATTTTCTTGTTGTTGCAAGAGTCATAGAGTATTATAATTCCCAAATCCAAATCTTTTCAGAATGCATTCAGATTTTTCATGCATTAAAATGTGATTATTAATATAGGACTTGAGAGCATGACAGGTGCACCAGCTGCAGAAGTCTGCTGTTAACAACACATAAAGCGTATACGGTAGTCAATGTATTTGTTTAACGGGTCATTACAGAAATTGAGTGATACAACTTTTTGTCAAACAACTAAATAATGGACAAATACTTTTCACAAATGCAATGTTTTCCCAAAAGACTCAAGCTTAACACTCCAAATAGAAATAAAACCTGGTTACATTTCAACTTCACCTCTATGGCACAGTGGAATCAGGGTCTATACTGGAGATATAATTTGGCCACATACTGTATCTGCAAGATAATCCTGAAGAAGTCCATGAATGCATTTATAATATAATTAAGAACAAGGACTTAAGAACAAGACAAGTGTATGCACTGGCTGTAAAAGTCTTGTTTAAAAGACTTTGTGACTTTATGACAGATTGAATCTGCCCTGTCTGATTTTTATCAAGCCTTTACCAATAACGTGGTCATGTACAGTTGTACAGGGGAGGAGAGACACTATGGACGCTCGTGAACTGGCGCAACTTACATGATGCCGTTTAAAACATATAATAATAAAGGGACCGAGCCGGCCTTTCTCCGCAGAAAAGCGTTTTGGCCAATCAAAATGAAATATGCGGGACATCGTCTCAATTTGCAGGACGCACCAAAAGTCGTGAAAATGCTGTGCAGTCCCGCACAAAGCGGGACATCTGGTCACCCTAAGTGTATCGTTTACAGTGCTGGATGAAGTATTTTATTTAAAATAAAATACGAAAATGTAAAAATACTACAAGTAAAAGTCTTTCAAACTAAATGTTACCTAATATAAGGAAAAGTATAGGTTCAAGGTTCAAGGTTTTTTATTTTGTCATACGAACATAGCTATAGTGTAGTTATGACGATGAAAATCTTAGGTCATCTGATCTAACCAATCAAGTATGCCTAAAGTACTAGGATATAAATAACTCATTGTGCAGAATTGCCCCTTTCAGTAATATTTTTATTTAGTTTATACAATTATTATTATTATTAGTGCAATACCAGAGCTGTTATGGAAGGTTATATCAGTAGCGAAGTCCCTCCCCTTCCCTTTATGAATCGTTTTCTGCGAAATGATTGGCCGACTATGAAAGTACTTCCTGTAAACATTGACTCTGATTGGTTCCTCGTCGTTTGACGTTCCGGATGTTGCATGTTTTTTTCCGGCCGGCTCACCCATGGATGTAGGGCTCACCGTTCCGTTCTCGGTAAAATGGCAGAGGTCGGTCATAGGCTAGGGAGCGGGGCTTACCGGCTGTCCGCCCTCAGAAACAGCCAGAGTTGGTCGGTGTGCACCGGAGAGAGTCCCGGTCCTCTGCTGGTCAACTCCCTCAGTGACAGCCGGTGTAAAGAGCAGTCAACCCGGGACCAACATCATGAAGTTCAGCCAGTGTCAAGAAGCAAAGCAACACGACTCAAACCAGAGAAACTTTCCGGAGTGACAACAAGTGAAAGTCCACAGAAAAATGGGACTTTGGGCTGTGTCAGGTATTTGGAGCTGGATTCATCCCGGTTTATCAGAGAGAGACTTAACACTTACACAACATCCCTGTACCTCTCAGCGAGGCAGCAGGAGAGGCTGCTGCCCGGCAGGATGACATCCTGGAGCAGAGGAGCTGTTTTCATCCACCCTGACACCTTCAGGTCAGGGCAGGGGTCAGACAGGTGGAGGCGTCTGAAAGCCCATCCTAATACCATGCAGGTATCTACCAGAAGCTACAGCTGGAAGAGTGACCGCAGCTCAGAGGAGGCTCCCATTATGTACAGAGCAAGGACGACTTATTACGACATCCTCAGAGTGTCCCCTGGTGCCACACAGTCCCAGATCAAGACAGCCTACTACAAGCAGTCTTTTCTTTTCCACCCTGACAAGAACCCAGGGAACGATGAGGCCACGCAGCGCTTCTTTGATATAAGCAAGGCCTACACAGTGCTGGGAAACATTGGCCTCAGGAGGAAGTATGACCGTGGGATTCTCAGCAGTTCAGATGTTCACAGTGCAGGGAGACCTTCCTCCAAAGAGACCATGAGCAAATCCTCAGCCCCCCCACATCAGCAACACTACAGAACCAGGCAGTTCTCCCAAACTGGGAAGAAGGCCATGTTTGATTTTGATGCTTTTTATCAGGCTCACTATGGGGAGCAGCTGCAGAGGGAGAAGGACATGAGAGCCAGGAAGCAGCGCCTGCAGGAGCAGAAGAAGGAGAACCTCAACAAGTGGAAGGAGGGAAGACATTTGGACTTGACTATGATAGTGCTGATGGCCATGGCAGGCGTTCTCGTTGTGAATCTCAGCATATCCTGAAATAGATGCAGCACCTTGGCGGGTGCCTCTCTGGGGTTGCATGTTACAACTCTCAGGGAGGAGAAAGAGGGGGAGAGAGAGTGCTACCTCAGACTGTTTTGCAAGTGTTGCACGGTTTTTGACAGTTGAAGATGATTTTTTCTTGTGTGTTTTTAAGGAGCAAACAAAGGCTGAATCACTGGTTAGAGGCCAAAGATTGGTATTTATAAACTGTGTCATTAGCTGATTGTTTCAAAACAGCAACTGAGCATATTACTTTTCCTCATTCATTCACTTTAAGACTGTAAAAACCAGCAGAAACAAAAACTGCAAACACTTACCTAAAAAGTGGGTGCTGAATGATCATACATCAGAAACGTCAAGAGAGAGAACATTTACAAATCGTATGTACAGGTAATATTATATTTCACTCTTAATGGCTTTCTCACCGTTGATTTATTTTAACCTAGGTTTCAGAGACATCATTACAATCTTGTCAAATGGTCACTCTCCTTATCTCAAGAAGCTGATGTAGACTGTTATGGAGGTTTAGTTTTTGTGCCATCAACATCTGTACCACCAGGTGTGAAGTTTCTGTGTCTGCACTTATTTATTTCATTTCCATAGGGACAAGTCTGAAGCCAAACCACCCTTATTGGCAGCTCTCATTGAATTCCTTTCACCCACATGCTGCACAAGGATGTGAACATTGAATGTCTGAGGCTGGAACACGCACAATCCCTTTGCCTTTCCTTACACACTGCATCTGTAATTCAGGAAATCACTTTGAAGTGTGCAAATGTAAGATTATTAGAAAAATAATACACATGTATACACCTATTTTTGAGAGTGTATCGATCTACTGTATATTATGTTAAATTAAAAATTAAAATTTATTTTTTAATAGGGGTAACTGTATAAACCAACTCTCAACCAACAGTTTGATTCATATTTTTTAAATAGTTTTATTTATCAATGAAGATCATAGTTTGTGATTACCCAGAATGCTTTGCGTGTTTTTTTTTCTTTCTGCAATTCTATAAGATCTGACCTCTAGAGGGCGCCTGAGCACATCCAAATCATCATAGGCTTCAGTTGGAGGCCTCTGTGTAGTCTGTAATGGACGATACTCATTTATGGTATGGAAGTCTGCTGAGAGCTGCTGTTGTTGATAATACATCAGTTTATTTCCTTGAAGATGCTTCCCAGTAGAAACTTCCAACATGGTTCATTTCTGGGATTAAAGGAATACTTCGCCAACAGAAGGAATATTTGTCAATTACTCACGGTGTGTTACCTTGAATTCTAGGAGAATTATTTTTTTCCATATGCCTATAGTGAACGAATAATTAAAAAAAGACTTGTCTTGAATGAAAGTATATGGGGCTGAACTTTCACAACAGTAAAACTATATCCAAACATTTTCACTCTCATAATTTTTGTATATGTAATAGAAAGTAGTTAATTTAATGTCTTATTTATCCAGTTGTATTCTCAGTATTTCCCTTACTATTTAAGACAATTCTGCATAGACAGTCTTACGTTTGTGCAGGCATGCCTCTTTTAAATAGAAGATTTAAGCAAAAAATACACATGTTTTGTTAAATGTATTTTGAAGGAACTGTGAATGAAATTGAGACTTGGATTATACTTTACAAGTTGTGTGAGAGTTTGTAGCCTGATGTTTTGATGCAGTTTTGCCGTTGTTAAATGGCCCAAAACTTAAATTCATTACTTGCATGAAAGATAAATGTTTTCTTCAAGAATTCAAGGTTACATGGGTTGAGTAGTTAAGAATCAAATGGACATTTTGTTGGTAAAGAATTCTTTCAAGTTATCAGTGTTTAAACTGACTGTAGTGGTCAAACAAGTCAAACCCTTTGAACTATGATACTGCTGCACTAGATCTCATAATACAAATGTGTGGTAGCATTAGGGCCTAAATATGGAAGATAGGCTGACTCTGTTTCATTTAATAATATAAACTGAAACAAATAAAAACCACGACACCTCAGTTAATACAGAATACATACATGTGAAACAAATGATCTCTATAGAGAGCTCTACTTTATCAGATTGTTTTTGTAACACCAAACTCTTCAACTTGTTTAAGCCGTATGTCAGGCTGTTAGTGACGTGTGTTGAATAACCGCAGGAAAAAGTGCAACATTTCTTCACATTTTATTCACAGAAATATAAAGTAGTATGTCAAGTACATCACTTTGTACAAAATTGCACAGACTCTTCAAAACTCAGTCAGACAACAGAAAATGTAGCTTAAGAAGTGTTAAGAAAATAAAAGGGAGGCATGAGCAATCTGTGATATGTGAGATGGGCTCTTGCAACAGACAGGCTCCACTGAGGATGTTTCATCAAGAAGAATCAATCAATTGTACATAAATAAGACTCGATAGGAAAAATGTAATTTACAACAGCTGAGGAATAAATATGTTTCAAAAATAGGATTCAAATTGGCACATGAACTGCTCCGTTCTCTCCTCGACTGAAATTTAAATGTCACCATTGAAGCTAAATGGCCGTGCTTGAAAAGCCCAATGTTGACTCTTGATATGTTTATTCTTTCCGAACAAAAGTTTGCATATGTGTGAAGTACAGTATCTGAAATCTGGCTGCTCTCTATTCATTTTGTAAGGTGTGCCTTGCCAGTTTAAAAAGAAAAAGGTGTGACATTGTGGGAAGTACATCCCTGGGTTGGATCAGAGCATTGATACCACTCCACTGAACATGAAAGTGGTAACCATTTTCTTATTTAACTCTTGGCAATGCATTTCCAAAATGTCAAACATTTCCTTTAAGAAGGTATTTGGACTGATATTGTGTTATAGTGAATGTCTGTGATGTACATTTTTACAGTAACATGAGTATTTTGTTGTGTTTTTCTTACGAGTTAATAACTCAACAAGCCCATCACTCTGTCAGCATAAAGTAAAGCAACAACATCACATCTTCCCATTCAAACATGGCCATCTACTACCCCTAACTTACTGCCTGTCCACACCAGGCCGCACTAACAGTACCAAATACTGCCGCCTCTCTAAAAAGCGAGTCCCCGGTCTGTCCAATAAATGCTGGATTTGGTATAATAATAATATCTTCAAGGCATTACTTCAAGTGAACTCCTATATTAACAGCATATCTAATCTACAGGTTATTGATATGATAAGCTTGAATACAGAACCAGCACCAGATGGAGGGACCTCGAAAACCATGTTTTAGAAACACTACTGCAGCACAACGATCATTAAAAATATTTGAGCTCTAATACACCATCACACACTCTTATACAAATAACCCGGTATGACGGCAAAATGTAAGCCACCCGGCCGTATTCATACAAACTGAACATGTGTCCATGTACCATTTCAGAGTTTCTAAAGTGATATGTAACACAACATATGACCACCTGTGTGTGTGTATGTGTTGCAGCCATTAATGAAACTGAGAAACAAAGCCAATTCATTATGATGAGATATGCATGATCAGTGTGTTTTTAGCAGAAACTGAAGATATAGTAATTACCTGCGTAACATTTTTGGGTTTTTGAGTTTATGTGAGATGGCAAACGCTATGACCAACAGTCTATTCAAGTCCAAGGTAATTGTCAGGCACTAAGACCCTTTAGGCTGTAGACGTTTTAAGAAAAACATGTCCGAGCTAACGCTAACACGCCCATGATTGCACTAAATTCACACCACCTGTTGTCCTCCTAGATGTTTATTAACCTGCAGCAAAGACCAGAGGAAGTTTCCTGTTCTCATCTATTCAGCCTGTGACTTGATCATTAAGCTATAACGTTAGAATCAGTGAGAACATCGTGCTTTTTTTTTAATGTAAGCATGTTCGTAACTTTTGGTTTTACCAAAATACCTTTTAACTATGTTCTCTATATCTAGCAATTACAAACGACTTCAATTCACAAGACAGGACACAAAACGTTGATCAAAAACTACTAAACTAGAGTTAATTACACCATTACAACAATAAGTTAACTACTCAATAGTTAGCCAATCATCAAGTCAACATCACGTCAGTGCCCTATTAAAACGCTCATAGTGTTATATTATTATACCAAGGGTTCCCTTTAAAGAACCAAACTGCTGCTGTTAGCTTAGCATCTGAAAACTACTATAATCCGTGTTACTGACCAATTCGGGAGGGGCTGTGTGTTCAGGCCGCCGGCAGTTGGAGGTCATGGCTGTCTTTGTGTCTGTGTTTTTATCTAAAGATGAAGAGTTAACTTGTAATATCTGTTCATCAACAAGCTAAGTGTTGTGATAGCGGACGGTCCACACGTGAAGAACAATGACGTCACATTCAAGCGACGTAAAAAGTACTTCTTCGTTAAATTTATTAAAAGCAGCTTAAAATCAGACGCCATCTACTGGTCAAACAGGTAGGTACATTTTGAACAAGTTACATATCTACTGTATATTTTGCCAGTGTATCTAGGGTGACCGGGGCCCTTTCTCATGTCATCAAATGTCCCATCCTCGACTCCTCGGTCCTCCGGTAGTGACCCGGAAATGAATTTTAGCGCGCCATGTTGAAGGACATCTCATTTCTCGAAATGCACATCGAGGACCGAGCATCGAGCGTCGAGGAGGCTCTCTGGAGGAGCTATAACCGAGGATACACTGATGGGTCCTCCACAGTCCTCCACGGCTCCTTCGTGGATGCATTTCCGGCAACAGTGATGTTTCAAAGAGTCGAGACGCACGGCCGGACTTATCTCAGCCAATGACAGCTCTGCATGCATCCCCTGGATATTATTTTATTAACTGCTTTCATCGCGACGCGATGTTTACAGTGAGAACAGCTGTGAGGTCCGTGCAGAAAGCAGAGCAGTGTGTATAATATATATCACTCAGTATAACAGGCCTACTCTCTTTATTTGCTTTAGTTTAGTAGATATCTACAAACAAAGTCGATATTTTTCTAAAACCATTTAGTGCTTCACATAATAAAATACACAACGGCTGTAGCCTGATTATATGCTTTAGGAGCTGTAGGTGCGTGTGTGTAGTGTAGGTGTGTGTGGTACAGTGTGTGCGTAGATGCAGCGGACAGACAGGTCTCAGTTGGTTTGGTGTCCTCTGCTTACTTGTAATACTTGTAAATAAAACTTTTGGCCCGTCATTTATTTCCCTCATTGTAGCGACCAGAGAGGGGAGAGGGGGGGGATATATCCAGTCTCTGATAGTGTTACGTTATTATGAGAGTGCTCTGTTTGATTCTGAAATTGTATATATTTATATAAATATATACATATATGTGTGTGTGTGTGTGTGTGTGTGTGTGTGTGTGTGTGTGTGTGTGTGTGTGTGTGTGTGTGTGTGTGTGTGTGTGTGTGTGTGTGTGTGTGTATGTCCGCATCTGTAGCCTGTTATTGTCTCATTATACCGCACTGTGAATGAATTAAAAGTAAATATATAAGTCGTCATGAACACATCTGTCCATCAGACAGAGGGCTGCTGTGCCTCCTGTCATCATTAATGGACGTCTCTTTAAAATGACCGCTCAGAGGAGAGGAGTTCTCATTTCTCTAACCGCCTGCTGCTTCCCCTCCTCTCTCCTCGGTTCCCCTCCTCGGCTCCTCCGCTCGCATCTCCTGTGGGCGGGACTAAGTCTCGAGGATAGGAGTCGAGGAGGGGAGTCGAGGAGGAACATTTGAAGACATGAGAAAGGGCCCAGGTCCCAACAAACCAAATGTGGGACAAGGAGGATGTTTGTGCGGGACAATGTGGGACACCCTCTCAACACCCCCCCCCCCCCCCCCCCCCCCCCCCCTTCGGGATAAATAAAGTCTTACCTATCTATATTCTGACTAGATATTAGACAAATATACTTGGCAAGATTTCGAGTTTTTGTAGTGCATATCTTTTTATTGCATTAATGTGATTCATGCCAAACGTACTGTATAGTCTCTCAGAGTGTCATTATCATCATATATGTACATACAAGAGAATGTGAAATATGTATTGATTTACTGTTTACTTAAGAAAAATATTTTTGCACACCTGCAGAAATGATCCCAAAAACAATAAAGCACTTACAATATATGTCAAGGATGTCTGTTATTTTCTTTATTATTAAGAGTCATGTTAGATGCATCAATATACTTTTTTTTGTCATGGTTCATTCAGAGTTTGTTTATGGGGCCGTTCATTGGTCCAATCTTAGTGCTCTATTAATAGTTGTCGAAGGTACTTGTTTGTTGTAACTTGGTTGCTATATTAAGATTGTTAAACTCTTCCCTGTTGTTTTAGGACAAGTAAAGCACTCTCAGTGATGACGCTAGGTGTTGTTTTTGGATTATCTCATCGTGAAGGACTTCTTGTATTTGCCAAGCAAAGACAACAATAATCTGCTGACAGTCAAATCTGTGTCCAAGTCTTAACATTGAGTGTCAATCATGATGAAGTCCAAGCTATGCATGTCCCCCAAATAACTCATGCAGCAATAATGAAGCAACACCAAAATGTTGAAAATGAACCTCAGCTCCTATAATATTTCTAGAGTAAATACAAATAAAAGAAAACAGACACCTTAATTTTCCCATTGAACCAACACACATACACACAATGATTCAATGTATTATAAAAGCCTAGCAATCTAGGGCCTAGTGACCTATATATAAAAGTGTCTTATGTATCAAATCAAAGCACTTCCATAGTATTTACATCTTTATGCTCTTGCATCGCAGGATTTGAGTTTTGGTAGCCTAAGCTTTGTAGATAATAATTACCTGTGTTACTCAGTGAGGTCAAATGTGAACCAAAACCTAAGTCACTACATTTCTTTTTAACGTTTTTAAATACTTGGATCAGGAGGGAAAGAGAGGGAACTTTTTTTGCTGAAACTTTCTGAGTCTCTTAACACACAAGGGAGACATATATATGTATCAAAGACATTAAAAAGTGCATTTTGCATAATAGGGAACCTTTAAATGATTGTGTTGTTCAATTGAGATCACATCACATGTGGCGTTTCTCGAGTTATTTTACATTATATAATTACAGGTTCATCTTTTAAGCTCAAAGTTTTGTTCAAGAGTCCAAGAATATTTGACCAGCTTGTATGAAATGAACACATTTGATAGAAACAACAATAACAAAAATAATGGGATTGAACGTGTACAGTGAGACAAATATAAAAACACCAAGAACTATAAATACATACATCTTCTATTTCATACCATGGGTTATTTTATTTATGGAATTCAGTGTTGATTAAAACATAAAATGAATAGATACCAGACTTTTAGTAACCAACATGTCATACAGTAATGAATATATACTGTATATGTTTACACAGTGATACACACGTAATAATTAACATTTTTATTTTTAAATCAAGTCTTTTTAAATCCTAATTGTAATCCTACTTGTATTATGAAAATGAGTTGCAGGCGAACTTGAGCTCCAGGAGAAAACCCTAAATATGAATGTTCATGACCTCAGTTTTCTTCATATTTACTGCCAGTACTTTTGTACTATGTGCAGCTGTTGTTGTATTTTTTCAGTCTGAGACAGTAGAGAGCACCATCATCAGCATAAAGCAGAAACTTCACCTCATTATAGAGAGACCAGCAGCAGCACATTGCTCCAACCCAACAAGATTTAATTCATATATACATTAAATAACGTTTACATTTAAACCCTGAGCTTTGAATACTTTAACAGCTCTTATGAAATCATCACATTTTTTGAAAAACAACAAAACAAAACAATGTAATTGAACCCAAAAGTAGAAACACCAAGAACAATCTGTACAAAAATATTCTATTGTTGTTGTATTTATTAAATTCAAAGTTGTTTAAATCACAAATAGAACAGATATCGGTACTTTAGTAACCAAAATGTCATAAAGTAATGAATATAAACTGTATACGTTTACACAGTGAGGCATACACATAATACATTTAATTAACATTTTATTTTAAAATCAATTCTAAACACAACTAAAAAACACTAAATATGAAAATGGGAAGGAAGGGGGGGGGGGGGGGGGGGGGGAGGGAGTGATGTAGGAAGAAAGAGGTGAGGGA